AACATAAATAACATCCGCTTATATAAAATAATTTATAGATATTTGTCTAAACAAAAATCTAAACAAGTATAAAATCACAAACAAATATTTAACTACCTATCAGTCTTATAAATAAAGGAACTAAGATAAAAAATCAAAAGCAAAACAAAAATAAGTATAAACAAAGTCCAGGTACCTATTAAACATAAAAATCATTTCCTAATAAAACACGGTATCAGTCTTATTTTCAAGAACATAAAAAAAGTTAAATTCATAAAAACACATTCACTAATAAAAAAATGGTTATCACAATCATATATATAATATACAGTCTGCTAGTATCACATCTCGTACAGCCTACAAGTCACATATTCTTTTTTGTAAGGACAGGAGAATTCTCCAAAATTGATAACATTTTTTGAACACATTCGGTTTGGATTGTATCACAATTTTTTTTGTGTCTTAAGTAATCAATTTTTACTTTATAATATTCTGCTAACATTTGGGAATTTTCCTTATAGCTTTCAGTTAAATTTTGCTGTACCTTTAAGGAATTTTCCAATTTGGAGGATTTGCTTAATCTTCTTACGTTTTTATTTGGACGACAAGGAAGCTCTTTTGCCATACCAGCATGATCCTGAAATAAATGTGGAGGGTAAAACCCAAAACAAATATATTATTGTTATTTACTAGTTACCTCATTTAGGTGGTATATAGCAGTCGATGTACTGGGTTGATTTTCTTCATCATAAGTGATCTCAACAAGTGGCACGTCTACTTCACAGGAAATTTCCTCTGGCGGCAATTCAGCTAGCTAAAACAAAGGAGTATTTAAAAGATAATGACTAGATGATAAATTAATGGTACTATTAACTTGTTCTAATTCAGTGTAGTTACTTTATTTTAATACTGTAACCGAAATGTATTGATATCCTAATGCAAGTATTGAAGGAACTGGGGACCATAAACAGTGATAATAAATTTAACAATGTTAAGTGTTACAATTAATAATTTCTGATCTTATATTTTCTAAACTACAATATGTTAAATACATAAACGCACCTCAAAATTAAAAGACGTATCTATTTCGATACTGCCTGGAATGCCTTCTGTAGCCGTGCTTGGGATCGTTTGCAAAATATCTTCCTCTATCTGTGTAAACTCAATTACTTCAGTTTCGCCTCCACCAGTTTTTGTCATCTGTTTTTTTTGCGTTGCAAGTTTGCTTTTAACTTTATTTTTTAAATCTTGCCATGTCTAAAAATAAGTTAAATAAACAAAATTTTACTTAACCTACAGGAAACATTTAATGTTGATATTTTCGTTACTTACTTTTCTCCACTGCTTCCAATCTTTTATTGCCCCATTTGGTACATTATTGAGTTTTTGAGTAACTTCCTCCCAAAGACGTTGGGCATCTTTAAATGAAAATTTGTCGCTGAATTTGCCCGTACTTAAATGTTCATGTTGTCGGACAAACTCTTTTAATATTTCCTTCTGGGCGTCAGTCACTGCCCTATTTCTTTTAGTGTCCATAATGCAAAAATCAGATTAAATAAATTCAAACAAAACAACAGCTGTGTGTCAATACAAATAAATATCACAACTGACAACTGACAGTTCAATTCTTGTCTGTGATTGGTTAGCGAATACAGTTTGTTCGCGATTCGGGAATGCAGCTAAACTTGAACTTATCCCTATCGTATACGATCATGACGTCATGGCAGCCGGTCACATCACATGCACATCACGGAGCATATCGACTAACTTCGGGAATCGATACCCTGTTCGCAAAGTGAATTTCGGTTTTACGTTGATTTAACAAAAGTGTTGTGTCTTTGAACTCATTCATTGGTAAGTAAAAGTATCATTATCGCTTGATAGTTAAATGTATTGAGAATCATGTAAAATCAATATTATTGAAAATTTATGGGTTAGGAGGAAAAATATTGGTATGTTTACATTTCCCCCTAATTTTTGTGTAATGGGGTAATGGTAAACAACACATACAGGGTAATTGTAAACTTAAATTTTTTCATTTTTTAATTGTTTTTTCAACTTTTTTTTAGTTTTCATGCTAGTTCTGAGCATTGTAAGCTATTTAAATAGGCAATTGTTTCAGGTCAATATGCCTAGAACATATATAAAAAAAAGACAGCCACCTAATTATTCTGTAGCAGATATCGAGCATGCTGTAAATGATATTCAAAATGGCAATGCCACATATCGCCAAGCACAAGATAAATATGGGGTTCCTATTTCGGTTATATATCATCGAATGAAGGGCCGAAAAGTTTCCTTAGATAGAATGGGTGCAGGTCGCCCACCAGTACTTAATCCCGATATTGAAAAGCAAATTGCGACATGCTTAATAGCTCGGGCACAAATTGGCTTTCCTTGTGATAAGGAAGAACTAAAGAAATTGGTGTCTGAATATGTAAAAGCAAATGATATACCGAATCCATTTCATAATAGTTTACCAGGTGAGGACTGGTACCAAAGTTTCATGAGGAGAAATAGTAATATTAGCTTAAAGAAGCCTGAACATCTACAAAAATGCCGAAAAACGGCTCGTGACCCAGCAATAGTTTATGATTTTTATTCAAAATTAGAGGAAGTTTACAACAAGCATGATCTGAAGGGAGCGGATAATGCTAAATTTGTTTTTAATTGCGACGAAAGTGGTTTTGCCAATGATCCCAGCCGACTAAGAGCACTCGGGGAAAAAGGCAAGGCCCTGTGTAGAATATCAGGAGGATCCGGACGTGAATCAACAACCGTTCTGATTTGCGTATCAGCTGATGGCTTTTTTCTTCCACCGTTAATCGTTTTCAAGGGGGCTGCTGTGCAGGCGCGATGGACATCTGCTGAATCTTATCCTGGAACCCGATATGCAGCTTCTTCTAATGGGTGGATGGAAGAACCACAGTTTTTTTACTGGTTCAAAGATTGTTTTATACCTCATGTAAACAGCATTCGCAACAATAACCATGAACAAGCTGCAGTTTTAATGTATGATGGCCATGCCAGTCATTATAGCATAAGAATAATACAAGAGGCTATGAATAATAAAATAGAGCTTGTACGGTTTCCCTCTCACTTGACTGATAGAATCCAACCCCTCGACAAATGTGTGTTTGGACCAATCAAAGTAAAGTGGGATAAAAAATTGGTGCAATATGGAAAGACGCAAGTTGGACAAGGAACTGGTCGTCTCAGCAAGGCACAATTTGCAGTTTTCCTTGGAGAAGTGCTGCGAGAATCATTGCTTTCAAAAAATATTATTAGTGGCTTTGTCTCTACTGGAACATATCCTATTGACCCAGCAAAATTTCCAGAAAATTTATTCGATCCCGTAGACCTTCAGAAGTACAAACATGCAAAACGGTGCACAAGTACAGAGATTGAGAAGACCAATAACTTGCCTCAAAATAATATCGAGCACCAAACACCATCTACATCTACTGAAAACACTGAAAAAAATACTGTTCTTGTGTCTAATACTAATATGTGGAATTCACAACCATCCACTTCATCTAGCGACACGCAAGAACTTGTAATGCATTCAACACCTACAAAAACTATTATTTCAGCATCAAGAATTGAAGATTGCTTAAGCCCAGAAGTTCAAAATGTGGCAATGGATTTATCAACACGAATAACTGAACCTTCCCCAATGAAACCTTTGAATAATCCCCGAACCGTAGTGGAAATATTTTCATCAGTATTAGAAAAAAAAAACCAAGCTCAAAAACCTGATACGAATAAAAACAAATCTACTGTTGTTCGAAGACTAACCCAGTTTAGTTATGGGGAGGTCTTAACTTCTGAAGAAGTAATGAAAAGGTTGATAGAAGCGGAAGAAAAAAAAGATAAGAAAAATTCACTTGCAAAAAAGAGAACACAAAAAAATACAGATAATGTAAAAAAAACCAAGAAGTCAAGAGAATTAGAGGAAGTAAATCCAAGTCAAGTAGATAAAAGTAAGGATATCTACGAGGATAACACCGATGACGATACTGAAGAACAATTCATAATTGAAATGGAAATGGAAAATACACCTGAGGTAAACTACGAACCACCTAATTATAATGAGATCGTTCCAGGTTCATATGTGCTAGCAGACTTTGTAGGTGGGAAAAGAAATAAAACTCACTATACTTACCTGTGTGTTGTGAATAATTTAGTGGGAAAAGAAGAATTTTGTGTTACTGGAATGAAGAGTGTTAACAATATTAACACTGAATTTATTATAGGTAATTGAAAATGACATTTCAAATATTCCATTTTCTGCAATAAAAGCAATGCTACCACAACCTACAATTGAATCACGTGAACGCAAGCTAATTTATGTTTTTCCAGGTTATGTATCTGTAAATGAAAAGAAGTAGGTAGGCATTTTCAAAATAAAATATCTGTATTAAAACATGTCTTTAGTTATTGATTAGGGGTAATTGTAAACAACGATCTAGTCTGTTAAATTTCTATGGTTAGTTAGCTACCTAATTTGTTTACAATTCCCCGAAGTTTTACTCCATTTGCCTTCATAGTTTATTAAAATAGTGTTCACAATTACCCCAAAGACTTGGGGGTATTTGTAAACTGATGGGGTAATTGTAAACTTGTTTTTAAACAAATAAAGTCACGTTTTTAACATTTCATAGTTGCATAACGTGAAACAAAAGACATCAAATAACGTTGTTTTTATAATTTAACTTCGAAAAATTAACATTTCCATATTTTATGAAAATATACTGTCCAGACTAGCAAAAACCGTTTACAATTCCCCCACTTGACCCTAACAGGGCAGTATTATCGTTATCACTTTCACTACAATAATCGCTTGTTTACCTACCTCAGAAGTTAATTATATTTAGATTTGTACTTGTACCATAATGACTTCCTAATTATTGTAATCAATATTAATGTTTTATAAGTAAAAGAAAATAAGAAAATATTCGTTAATGTCTTTAGGAAGGGGTTCTATATATATTGCAACTGAATTGTTATACTCACTTAGTTTCTTGTACAACCTGGTCAAAATGGACGCCACTGAGGTCAAACGTAAAATTTAGTTGAACGTGTATGATTATTTTGTAAAAGAAAAAAATCATGGTGGAGTACCTACCTACTTACTTCAGTAATGTCAGTTCAACAAAGAACAGCGGATGCGGTGCAAGTATCGAAACAAACAGTTGTGAGGACATGTGCTATGCGAGAGATTGGAAGTGATTTAAAAAGAAATACATATCGCCGTTCTAAACCACGTAGGACGGACCTATACTAGAAAATAAAAAGCATACCATCCGATATCTGGATTTATGATATGTACGCAAATAAAGAGCACGTAACTCTAGATACTTTGTTGGCGGCGATAAAATTGAAAGACTTGTGTGATTTGGGCAGAACAAGCTTGTTCTATGCACTGAAAGAAATGGGCTTTAAATTTAAGATGACCAATAACAGACGGGGTTCGTGTGAACAAAGTCATGTGGTTTCCATGCGGAATGTGTTTTTGCTAAAATACATCAGAAATCTCGAATCCGAAATTCCGCATGATTTCGTTTTTTTAGACGAAACCTGGGTGTTTAGCAGAGGCGCAACAAAGCGTACTTGGCAAGATGACCGCGCTAAAAGTTTGCAACAACTCATAAGGCTTCAGATGGTAAACGATACATAATTATTCATGCTGGTGGCAAAAATGGGTTTATAGAAGGCAGCAGCTTAATATTTTCGAGTACCAACAAATCGTTCGATTACCACGACAATATGAACGCCGAACTATTTGAAAAATGGTTTGAAGAATCTGTCCTAAAGAAACTTGCTCAGCCCTCAATTATTGTTTTAGATAATGCATCTTATCACACGCGGAAAAGTGAAAAGATTCCAACAGCTTCTTCAACCAAAGAGGAAATTTCGAATTGGTTGAAAATGAAGAATAGACCATTTGATACTGGGATGTTTAAGGCCGAATTGTTAGAAATTGTAAAAAATCACAGTCAAGCAACCATAACTAAATATGTTATCGATGAAATGGCATTACAATATGGCCACGAGGTTCTGCGTTTACCGCCTTACCATTGCCATTTCAATCCCATTGAACTGGTATGGGGAATTTCGAAAAAGTTTTACGATGACCATATTGTTGCTACGCCGGGAAGACAAGAAGATGTTCTTAAAATCTGGAACGACGCGTTAGCTAAAGTAACTCCAGACGTGTGGAATCGCTGCGTAACCCATACAGAAGAAATAATCAAGGATACCTTCAATCGTGAAAAAATTATAGACGATGTAAGGCCTTTGATTTTTACTGTAAATACAGGAAGTGATGAAGAAAGCGATTATTTAAGTGAAAGTGACAACGACGCGTGAATTCATATAGACTTAATTCATGTCGATTATTATAATAGGTAGCAATTAAGTAAATAATGTACATATTTTCATGTTTATTTGTAACAAACAAATGTTGTAATTTTTAATGTGAACTGATAAAATACAAGCATAATTTCGTATCGTAACTGGTGTAATATTTATATTCTGTTGAGAACTGCTGACTGGTGGGTGCTTATTGTTCTATTCATTTAAACAAGCCGTAAGGATTGTTTTGAACGACTTTCGCCCTTAAAAATCCGGTTTTTCCCATACATTTAAGATGCAAATCCAATAATACCATTTATCGCAATACTATTGGGAACACCCCCAGCGTTAATGAGAAAAGTAACATTATTTTCTGAATACACTATAGGTATAATTTTAGTCCACGGCAAGATGCTCGCCATCGGAAAATCTACGAGTGGCTATTGAAAAATATAAGGACCGGTACACGAGATCCTAACGCTCTCCTGGGTTGGAGGTGCGGTGCAGATAGCAACGTATGGCCCTCGACGCTGCTGAACGGTTACCAGACAACGTACGATATTCTTGAAAAAATTGTCAATGACGATAGCTTTACTAGAAAAAAACAAAAATATGTTGTATGGTAAGAAACGAAAATATAAAAAAGCTTTCGTTTTCTTTATTTATTTATAACAACAATACGATATTATTATTTTCTATCCAAGATTTTTCATCCAGTCCCCACCACTTGACGTACACTTTATCTTTCTTACACCAAATAGATAACGGAATACTTAGCTTATTGCAGTTCCTGCTCATAAAATCCTCCCAGTATCGGCTTTCCTTTCATGTCTTCCAACAAGTACGTCACCGGGTTGGTTATTTGTGCTTAATATTATCAATTATTTTGTGAATATGTTGAGGTAAAGTTAAGTGACTATATATAATGTTGTACATAATACTATTTACGCTGTTGGCAAAAAACCTTTTGTTGTCCTTTTTTATGATTTTTAACTAGATTAAGATGAAAAAGGAAAAAGAATGAAAATACACTTTTGTTTAATTATTACATCTGATTATTAATGTAGACATTCCAAAATCGATTAGGATAATAAATATCAACTATATAATTCAACAGAATAGTAATTATACACCAAGGTAAAGAAGTTGATTTTCTTAGCCGAGCGGTATTATTTCCCGAGACGTTTTACGTCGAGGGAAATAAGAAGCGAGGCAATGAAAAGTCTTCTCTGCCGTGGTTTATATATTATTTTATTCACTACTAGCAGATGAACTGTTTTAACACATATTTAAATATCATTAGAAAACACGATTTTAAGTACCTATAATAGATAGGTACTTTTACAAGAAGGCTGTGACTTTGACATTACATTATTTGTAAGTTGCCTTTTGCGTGTTTCGCTAATTTCTGTTAAATAAATTTGGATAGTGAATTTTCGTGCACTCATCCAGACATACAAGAGGCAGCAAAATGCGTGGCCGCTAACGACCTCTTGCCTAAAAAATCAAAACATTACAATAAAATTTATTTAAATTTTAAAGAGTGGTGTCAAACAAAATGTGTTTCACAAGTTAATGAAAATGTTATGTTGGTGTATTTTGAAGAATATCGCGTACAATAATTGTGTGATTAATTATAATTTTCAAAAGTAAGTTCTTTAAGTTCTGTTTGTTCAGTTCAATAAAATCCTTGTTTACCTCGTTAACATAACGTACAACGATAGTTATTTATTTATTGCCCCTAATTATAGGCAACCCAAATGTTAAATTCATTATCTCCTACTAGGAGAGAAATAATCCACTAATGGCCGTTTGCACCAACCAAGTTAGGGATTACCTAAGGCTAAGGAACGAATAAGTGAGCATTAGGTGCAGATTTCGGTTGCACAGTAACTTTTTCATTCCCTAACTCGGATTAGGTATACCTTAAATTAGGGGCGTAATTTCGAACACCTAATGTCGCCCTAGGAAGTTGGGCATGCGCAATCAGAAAAGTACGTTTATACGTCAAAATAAATGTAAAATACTTTTTTGGTTTTCTTCTTTTTGTTTGCTTTCTTCATAAAGATAAAGCAGATTTAGAAGAAATGGAGATGTTTGATGATGATTTGGAAATACTAGATTTAATAGAAAACGGTATTCCGCGAAAAGTTTATGAACGACCCAATTATTTTGATGATATGGATAATATGACCTTTTTTAAAAGATTTCGTCTTACAAAACCAACTGTTATGAGTTTATTACAGGAAATTGAAGATCAACTGGAATTTCCAGATGATCGGTGAGTCTGCATAGGTACTATGGCGTTCAGAATTAATGATTCGCAGGTGTATAGGCAACTAACCATACCAGGTTAAGAATTCTAACACAGCCCTTGTGCAGAGTTCGCACTTTCGTTTGAGGAAGACGAACCAGTTTTATTATACCTAAGTAGTTGTTTATTATAAGCAACGATAATACTTCTTTGTTATAAGTAATTTGGGAAAACCGGCTGACTAATTCTGTAGTTGTAAACAGTTTGCCTTCTATGCCAAACTAAAAGTTTTTCAGTGACAGCGCAAGTCCGATTTTTTAAGACCTGTATTTCCATTTCTATGTTTAAATAGGTTTACAAGAGAATTGAAAGTAATTTAATTTATAGCAATTAGTTTACTGTCCACAAGGGATGTATTTGATAAAACCCAAATTTTTATTTTATTCCAATGTTTTATTTCCAATTTTTGTGATTGTGGAATAAAACTTGAAAACGTAGCAAATATAATGCCACAGCTTTTGAATTTTAATAGTAAATGAAATCCAGTCTGAAGGATGTGACCATTTTTATTGTTTATTGAACATAATATCGAAGATAGATAGTTAACTTGTTTGATTGCATTTTCTAAGAGATGCACAAAATACGCAAATTTGGTGTATCGGTGTATGCCATAAAACATGTAAGAGGTACCGGGTCTTCATCAATTACTGAGACCCACGTGACCAAATTTAAATTTCCCGCTTTAAATATTTTTTCTTTATGTTGGTAGACACGGACAGTTGGTTAAAACAAAATACCCAAATTGCATATTTGTTTATTTCACCTCCTGTCAATCTTTGCTTGTGTTTACCGTTTTTTTCGAATTTCTGTAACATTATCTTAAATCAACAGCCAAAACAGTTCTTTTCAGAGCTCTTAACGCTACGAAGTTATTCTAATGTAAGTTAAAAATTTTTTAAGGAGAATTGTCATTAAGTTATTCTGAATTTTTAGTGTATCGCTGTAGGAAGATGGTGTTCACACCAGAGCAAGATGCTTTTATTTTAATGGCACATTTCCGCAGTGGTAACCGAAATCCTGATGGAACTTGGAGCTATTCACTGCAATCGTGCATTGAACAGTTTTCCGAAGAATACCCTGATGTTAATATCGACTACGATGTATTTAAGAACCACAGGTCACGTCTAATAACACGATATGAAAACAAGCACTGCATTTGCAAAGGGAAGTCAACAGGCAGACCGACTGTTTTAAGTGAAAATGTTGTTAACGATATTCAACAACGAATGGAACAAAGTCCCAAAAAATCGATTTCTCGACTTTCCGCTCAAACAGGTACGGCTAAGTTTACGTGTATTTGTGTAATAGAAAATAAAATGTATTTTTTATAGGCCTATCGACTGGTACCTGCCACAAAGCTTTGAAGAAGGTGCTACACATGCATCCGTACAAAATTTCTTCCGTGCAACAATTACATGCACTTGATTACGATCGTCGAGTGCAATATTGCCACTGGTTCAACGAACGCTTAAACGATAACAATTTGTTAGACCTAACGTTTTATTCAGACGAAGCATGGGTACATTTGTCAGGTTACGTTAATAGCCAAAATTACCGGACTTGGGCAGCAGAAAATCCGCACATTTTTGTCGAAACATCTCTACATCCCCAAAAGGTTGGCGTTTGGGTAGCCATGTCAAGAAGGAGGATAATTGGACCGATTTTTTTTTATGAAACTATAAACGGAGAGCGATATCGTGCAATTCTGCATCAAGCTATTGAAGAAAATCTGCAAGATGATGAGCTACAACATGGATTTTTCCAGCAAGATGGAGCCACGGCACACACCGCTAACGAAACGCTTAGATACCTCCAAGAATTTTATGGCGATCGAATTATAAGCACTGGTTTGTGGCCTCCAAGAAGTCCTGACCTCACACCATTGGACTACTTTTTGTTTGGACGAATTAAAAATAATATATTTAAAAATCGACTGCACACACTCGAAGAATTGGAAAGGGCGATACGACAAGAAATAAACGATGTGACGCAAGATGAACTCGAACGTGTATTTGAAAATATGAAGCGTAGAGTGAATTTGTGCCTGGAAGTGAACGGTGGCCCCTTTGAGCACCTTTTGTAACAATAAATAGTACAATATATTTCGTGTTTCTCTAAAATACTTAATTCGGCCTTCAAATATTACTGGGCTTCAGTAGTAACTTTCCTAGGGGAAAAAAATCAGGATTACCACTCGCGCATTTTTAGTTGCCTAACCAACTGCAGTCACGTGGGTCTGTGTAATATTAAAGATATTTTCAATCAATTAATAACCAATTTCCTGTTCAGATACAGTATCTTCAAAAGAAAAATAGGGAAGACCTTAATTAGGTACTTTTGTATTATAAATGAACCATTAAATCTCATTAGATATATTGATACATATTTGCACCAGTTTTCATTGTTATAGGTAATGAGCGTTTAATTAGGTGCAAAGTAAGGGGTAAGCTTTCAATTACTTCGATGTTTATTGTAAATTATTCGCTAAAGCGGTAAGATCTCAATTTTTGCGACTAATTTGGAGTTTTGTGTGTTTGTATTTAAAATGCCAAGGCGCCCGGGCCAAAGAGATTCGACGTTAGAAATTAGGGGGATAATAGTTGCATTGTGGGAGTGTGGTGTTCCTATTCAAGAAATTGCTGAACGTGTTGATTTATCGGTAAGTAAACTACAAATTTCGCCAAAGACAATATTGACATTG